TGATCAGTAGGTCCACCAGTTGGAGCAGCAGTTGATGGTTCTCCAGTTGGTTGTTCGGTGGGAGCTTCAGTTGTTGGCTCATCTGTTGGTGAATGAGTGAGCGGTCCATCTGATGGAATAGCAGTTGATGGTTCTCCAGATGGAAGATTGGTTGGTTGTTGAGTTGTTTGTTGTGTTGATGGTTCATCAGTTGGTTGATCAGTTGGAGAAGGAGTTGTCACCGGATTCATTGTTGTGGTTGTTGGCGCCGAAGTTGTGGTCGTTCTCGGCACACAAACAGCATTGTTCCGGGCAACGGAAACAATCTAAAATCGACTCATTTCTTCAAAGAATTTGATTGTCCAATTCCCGACTCAAATCCGATCTTCCCGACTCACCGTTCTCACGGGAATCGTTTGTGAAAACAGAATGTAGTCAATCGTTTTCTGTTTTTGTGTCGATGTCTGATCGGGATCCGACTCTGCTTTCTGAATCAAAAGCAGTGCTTCGTGAGCCTAAATATCAAAACTATCAATCAAAATCAAATCAAAAAATACTTCAAAATATCAAAGCTCTAATCTCTTTCCAAACCTTTTCAACGATATTTTCCTGTCCATCGAATTTCTCCAGAATTTTCTCATCAACAGCTTTCAAGTAGTCGTCGAGAGCAGTCTGGAATGGAGATTTCAATGAAATGATCATATTTAGAAGAGCTAATCAATAGTTCTTTATCCATATTCAATCGAAACTCTTACCTGAATCTTCTCTCCAAACGGTTTTGCCCAATCTCTCATTTGTTCTTCTTTTTGTCGATCAGTCAATTGGTTGTTTGATTGAATTTTCAGGAAAGAAAGCCTTGCAAAAAGGGGGACATTGTTGAGAAAAGTTGGATTCGGAAGGGAACAGGAATTGTCGAAGAATGGAGAGATCGCTGGGGATTGGGACTGAAAATGGGATTTCGATTGGAGATTATTGGAGAATTGGATAAGGATACTGTAGCTTGAGAAAAAGACAAACCTCAACGAAATTCCCAATGGCCAAAACCCCAATTAAAGTCCAAATCGAAACACTTCTCATCGTTCAGAGCAGGAGATCAATGGGCTTACTGTAGATAAATAGGATTACTGCAGAGAGAACTGTTGAAAGAAGGAGTACTGTATTTGAGATGCTCCTTCCAATCTGTTCCTTCGAATTTCCATTTAACTCCTTTAAATACCATTCTCAAACTATCTCATAAATGATCGGTAATAGCCAATGAAACAAATTTGACGCAATCATTTCCTTTTTTCCCTTTTGAAGCCATTTCCCCTCCCCCACAAATTCTTCCTTATCTCCAGTCTTTTCTTTTCTTTTTTCATGGCCAAATGGGCGGAATTTTATGTTGTTTTTTTGGGAGTTGTCCATTCCGAAGATGACCTCAACAATGGCATTGCACATTCAACTAAACGGCGATCGGCGACTCGTTTCAACAATTTTAACCCACAGTTATTGGAACTTTTTATCAGCTTTCAATTGAACAAAATCGATATGTCCCTTTAGAAGAATTAGTCCAACTATAATTAGACCTAGCACATTGAGTTTAGCACGTTGAGCTGAACAGCTCAATGTGCTATACAACCCGATGCCATTGTTATAGCCGGCTAGAACATGCTCACGGTTATTGTGGTGTCTTCATCCGTGAAATCCGCGACTACACTTCTACTCTTGCAACTCTTACTCCAGCTATGTGTAACATAAAGTAACTGGAATAAGGCTGATAATTTAGAGCAAAAACTACTTTAAACTAGCTTCACGATAGGAATTTTCAGACGAAAAATAGCAATTATTGTGCTAGACTCGTTTAAAAACGGAAAGAGACGAGAAATTTCTAATTTCGATGTTGCAAAGTATCTATTTGGAAATTTTTAATCCTTTTTTCATAGCTATAGTTATGATAGTTCTCGTAATCAATTTCTGGGACAACAATTTGAGTAAAGCGCTAGTAATCTTAGCAAACATTTGGTCTATAAACTGAATTCCTAGAGGCTGCCGCTCGTGATCTTCTCGCGCACTTGTTGACAATTGGTCCGAGTGATCGGTACTCTGTCCAAACCGCGCTCAATCATTCATATGTGAAATTGTAGTTTAAGGTTTGGATAAAGTTAAAACATACAAAAAGTAGGGTACTTTCAAATGAATTGTTGCACAATTAGATTAGAGTCAAAGGAGTGCAAAATAGAAAGAAATTGAGGTACGACAGCAGAAATTGATCGACGAACAAGGCTTACTGTGTCTTATAATCTGTCTTACAGAACAGCCAACATAACGAGATACACATTTGAACTGAATATCGAAAATACTCAATTTTCCCTGCTCCTCCGAAAGGAGCTTGACATGAACTTCAATTTTGGTTATGCCAGTTCAGCCAACACATTTAAGTGTGATTCTTAATGTTATTAAGTGATGTTAAACGCTATTTTTGCATCGAAGAAATATTGAAAAGCTTTTCTGAACAATTTTTAATGGAGCGGCCAAATGAGAGATTCGCCGGAGAGATGTCCTCTGCGCTCATTTAAATGAATGAGTTGTAAATGAGTTGTATCAGTCCAATCGGGAAGTTTTTGGTTGATAAATGTTGCCAAGAATTAGAACTACAATTTTCTATATAACATTTGGAACGTGAGCTTTTGATTTTTTTTGAACAAATGGGGACTTTTCCAGGCAGTAACAAGAAAATCAGTCCGAAATTGGCACTAATCAATGGGCTTTCCCCTTCACGCACAAATAATCAATCGACTTTTAGAACTCTATTTTATTAAAATCTCATCATTTTTACCGTTCTTGTGTGCAAAACGGCTAACGATCAAGCCAGCGCAAAGGTGAAACAATTTTGGGCGTTTGTCAGCCATTCTTTAACGAATTCGGCTCATTTCTACGTCAAAAGATGCGCCTTGAAAAATTCTATCGAATAAGTATTTTGTTTATGTGGCAAAAATTGTTTTAATTTATAAAAACAAGCTTAAATTTGGTAAAGGCGAAAGAACGGAAGAACTTTGCTCCAAACACCGTTTTTTCACCCTTTTCTCAAGAATTCTTTAATTTTCTTAGAACAAAATATATTTTATGATAAGCTTTTGATTATATTTATCATAATCTTTATTGAAAAAACTCCTTTAAACACTCAAAACATAGTTTCTTTTCTTTTACACGCGTCAACAAAGAAATAATAGAGAAAATCGAAAACAAAGATTAGACAACAGTAAAGATAACAACTTGTAATATTCAACATTCAACAGCGCTTTTGGTTACTGTCAGCGTAAAGCCGCCAGAACTATGAGGCTGAGTACATCGGTAGTCCAATTGATAGATCCATTCGATTCCATTCCGGTCGGCTCTCACTGAATAACGGGTTCGATAGTCTTTTTGTTGAGATTCTCTGAAAGAAATAAAATTCTTATTTGAAATCTTTTGAGTCAAAAACTGGACTTGCAAATTTACACGTAAACAAAAGGGATCTGGTTTGCTGATTTCTTAGAAGATAGTGATCAAATATCTTTGATTGGTCACAATTTTGGGTCTCTGAGCGCAAAGTATACACCCAACCGCAGCCCGTAGCTGAAAATTGAAAACTGTGCCTACCTGAATCCCTCTTCCCATCCAATCATCTGCGAGAATGCGTGGAAACTCTTTTCTTCGTCTTCCAAAAATCCACAATAACACAAACAGAACTCTGCCTTCGGATGCCAATTCGGCGGCCCCTTCACGAGAAGATTATCAAAAACTTTTAGGAAAGACTTATAAAGAGGGGCTATGTAACGTATCGAGCGAACTTTCATTTTTTCCAAGCATTCCCATGTAACTAACCCTTGCGGGTTTTCGCCAATAGTGTCATAAGTGTCCCACAGTTTTGCTGTATCTATCTGTCCTGAATTCGTTTGCTGCGATAGGAACTGCATCAGATCGCCTCCACCCCTCTTCATATTGAGCGTATATTCAGCAACTGCTGGAAGGAGAGGAGTTGGGATAAGGATAAATGAAGATACGGATAAGCATCGGACTGCTCGAACTCTCGGCCAAAAGGAGAAAAAGTTAACAACATTGCTAGAAAAGGCATCTACTTCGTTTGGCATATATGACAGGCATTGGATTTCTTGACATCGAAGAATATTCTGGAAGATTCTCGAGTGATGTCTTGTTATTTGCTTTGAGGGTCTTTCAAAGATTGGTTTGTTGATATGAAATGAGTTGATTTGAAAAGCCTTAGAGCCTGCAGAGCCATGTTTTACATCAATAGATAGCCCCGTCTTTCCAGTAGATTTCCAGCTAGATAGACTGAAAATAAGCCCGTGAACATTTTTTCGAAATGGTCCATTACAGAGGACAAATCGTCGGAATTCGCGATTCACTTGCAATAAACTCAATATTTCCTTGATCGGCAGAGAATCGAGGACATCGACTTTCAGCGATGTAATCAGTGAATTGACAGAGAAATTTGGGCCAAGACTCATTCCTCGGGTAAATGTGAAAAGATAAGTGGGTGCTCGGTGAATTCTGCTAGGATACGTTCTCATTATGAGTTGTTTCCCGCCCTGATCTGCTAATTGTCTGCAAAAACGTGTAAAGGGTATCAATACGTAGATTTTGTGTTACACTACCGTAATATCTGTAAGAGAACGCTACCCCCTCCAAACATTTCATGTGGTGGACTCTTATCATATTTTTCGCGCTCAAAATTTCGAAAAATCCATGCGTGGGACCCTTCCCTTTTTTCGACGTTTTTTTACCAGCCTTAGCCAAAAGAATTTTGATCAAAAATGAGCCCATTTCCTCCAAAAACACTCCTTTTATGATAGGAGGTAGTTTATAGATTTGTAGTTTTTAAATATATTATTTTGAAAATTATTTATTTGCCCCGGCGGAAATGCATTACAAAAAAAGGTCTTAAACAAAAAAGGGGTCTTAAATACACACAAAAAATAGCGGGCCTAGTACAAGTGAAAAGGAGAGGCGGCGTGGCCTAAAAAATCTTCTTTCTGTCCTCAGTGATGGCGCTGCTTGGTGTCAGGTTGAGCCTTGCTGGTGCCAGGTTGCTCGGCACTCGGGAAATCCTCCTAAAAATTCATCAACCGTAAAGGGTAAACGCTACAAAGACAAACCTTGCAGTCCTTAAGCAATGATTCTTTTAAGTTGTCGAATTCGTATTCGAGAAATGCAACGATAGGCGACGGTTGGTATGCATCGGTGGGTTTGTGTCCCTTGGTTTCGTCATCATCTTAAAATAGAAATTCTTTACAGATACGGAAGTGCTTTCTTCAAAATAAAGCCACAACCTACATGTAATGTGTACACGCAAGTTGTCGTAAGCTTTGGCGGCTGGATCCTTCTCTTGGATACCTTTCCGTATTGCCCTTCTTGCAAATCTATCAGCCTGAAATTAACAAAATCAATCAAATTAAATAGAAATTAAGCTATAAAATTATTTCGGAAATAACATTTCCTAAAGCATTACCTCTCCAAGGCGGGGATCATCGTTCTTAATCCACTGGAACAAGATCCCCTTTTCAAAATAGGTTGCCAGAGTATACAAATTCTGATAACTAAACGTAAAATATAAAGAAATACAAATGGAAAAACAAACTCATTAAAAAAAGTTGACGGTCCTGGTTCTTGACGCTTCTTGTATTGCTTCATCTTCTTCAAACCCTCAATCATACTTTGACAGTCACTTCTTAGAACTATCGGCCAGGCCCTAAATGATCAAAAGATTTTTCTACACACAAAATGGCCGAGGATTATTGTTATTATACAAATGAATAATGCTTACTTGTGCTTTTCACTCTTTCTTTCTTCGCCATTCTCTTCCCAAACTCCGTTCCAGACGAGAAGACGTTGAAGAACTACTGTTGCCGCCCATATTTCAGCGCGAGTGTTGTCGTGTCTTTCCTGAGCCTCGTTGATGTAGTAGCTGATGTCGCGAGACCTAAATTTGAGAAAATTGCTAAAATTTTATCGGCTAATTTAAACAATAGTCAATATTTTATTTCACAAGATAAACTAATATTTTCCGGAACAATCCAAAGCATTTTTTGTTCGGCACTATAGTTATAGCATAAAAACACATACAGCTGAACTGGATGATAGAATCCGATAAATGCTCCAATTCCTGTGATCTTCTTTTTCAAATCCGCGCTAGCATCGCAATAAACCATGACGTGTTGAGGAAAAAATTTTCTATGGGTTTCATCGGGGTCATATTGAATGTTGTTTGTCCCATCATTGAAACCTAGAAAACAATAAAATAAATGACTATTGTTCAGCGATTTGCTAAATTCCTGAGTGAAAAAAGTTTATAGTCATCTAGCATTATATGAGTTTAGAACTGTCTCAACTGACAAAAAAATGAACCTACCGTAATCGCGCCTTTCATAATTTCCACTCCAGACTGTTTGTGTCTTTGGTGGTCGCTTGAAGTACTAAAAAATATAAAATAGATCATAGTGAGAGAGAAATAAAGGAGACTTTTAGGTGCAAAGATTTATGCATTGCATTTTATTTGTTTGTTATAGATTTTAACTGTTTTATGTGGGGGTGGGACAAATGCTACCTTTTTTTGCGCACCTGGACATTTGCGCACCTTTTTTTGCTGGAAAAGGTCTTAGGCAAGGCCGTAGAGCCTCGAAAATATTTCTATTTAAGGGAATCGCATGCGTAGATTCCGAATTTCGACAAATCAGACCTCGCTGACACGTCAAATTTGGGCTAAAAGGCAAAAACTGCGGAAAAGCGTTAAGTTGCGTAGTTTTTGCCTTTTAGCCCAAATTTGACGTGTCAGCGAGGTCTGATTTGTCAATTCTAAATCTACGCATACGATTCTCTTCTATGAAAACATTTTTGAAGCTCTACGACCTTTCCTAAGGCCTTTTCCAGCAAAAAAAAAGGTGCGCAAATGTCAAGGTGCACAAAAAAAGGTCGCATTTGTCCCACCCCCGTTTTATGTTGAAAAATTCCTACATGAAACTCAAAAAACATTCAATTTAAAACCCTTTCTATAAACTTACCAAGCTCCGTTCCTGGGCCGACGACGGCGCTTTCTGCGGTGATGACGATGAAGTCCGTTCCTGCTCCGATTTCCCACCGGCAGCTTCTCTTTCCTCTTCGCTTCCACTTCTTCGCTGATTATGAGCTGAAAAAAATTGATAGAACCAAAATTAAGAAAAACGGCAATCGTTAATTTCGACATTTTTGTATTTTCGCATAAGTCTCCTTGGAATGCATACCAATGAACGCCCATAAAAGAGCCAAAGAAACCTTTAAAAAAGGGTTCAAAAAACAATAATCCGAAGAGAGATAGAAAAAATTATCATCCAGGAAAACCCTTGCCAAATCCAAAGTGGCCAAATCCACGGTTGCCAAGAATTAATAATAAAATTAAACCCAAGAAAAAGACAACAAACCTTTCAAAGCACGCTTCCATCGACCGATTAAGTGGCCAAGGCAGGCGAACCAAGCGAACATTTTTGAAGAATGATTCAAGGTTTGATTTGGTGAGAAATGAAAGAAGTAGTATGCAAATTTACCAAATTTTTAAATGCAAATTTTCTCGATTCTCTCGATATTCTCTCGATAGCTTCTTTTGAATTCCATTCCACCAATCGATTCACTGACTTCAAATTGTGACTTGTGACGGACTTTGTGTTTTCTAGACCATTTCTGGTGAAATTATTGAGGAAGATCGAAGATTTATCGGCGCCTGAAGTCTATCAACGTGACCAGAAGAATGTTGCTTACAATTATGGTAAGCAAAGTTCAATAAACGTGGCCAAACTTTGTTTTTTAAGACGACTCCTGAAAATGGCGACTGTGCTGAAGACGTCGGAGGAGCGAATCAAATTTTTAGTCAAGCTAATGGAGACCGGATTAGAAGAAAGCAATATGAGTGCTTGGGGAATGTTTCTGACAACAGTAAGTGGGGTAATTATTGCAAGCTTCAATCTAGAGTTTAGTATTCGGATTATTGGGAGTTCACCGAGTGTTCACGTTTGTTGGATGCTGTGCTCGACATTCACGACGTAGCTTTGCGCAAACTTGTTGCTGAGGTTATGGTTTTATCAGATGGTAAACAACCAGAGTTGCAGATGCAAGGAGATGTACATGCCGGCTTATAATTCGTTTTGTACATGGTCATTTAGGCAAGACTTGCCATACGTGGGCTGTTTTTGGATATGCAATACTCGGATCAAGCTGCCAGTGCGTTTTGGTTGGCTGCCGTTTTCAAGTTTGTTTCACTTTGATTTCAATGGATGACACTGCTTCTAGCAAGCTAACGACTCCGGAATACCGCCCAAAATTCTTCATGTTACTGTTTTTGGATCCCGTGGAAGCAAATGGAAAAAGTTTGTGCCTTTTAGCATAACAAGCAACAATTTAATTTTAGGGACTCTGGATTGGCGTAGGATGGTGACTGAGGTTATCACGTCGTATTACCACTCAATGCGCTTCATTTCGCCACTTTCTAAGGCACTCACGCGTCTGATCAGCACTGGCGAACATTTGACCCGTCCATGCCGAGCACTTGCCTACACACGCAGTATGATGTTCAATCTTGTTGAGGAAATCACCAGTGCGTAGATTGTAAAAATAAACCAGGTTCAACTGATTTTTTTTGGCGTATTCTGAGCCATGGAGCCTTGACACCTACACAGCCCTTCATGTACATGAGCCATCTTTGATCTCTTTGAGCATCGAAATGCGTATGCAACAACAACTTTATGCAGAATCGGGAAATATACTGTCACAGGTCAAAAACGTAAGTGTTTGAAAGAAAGAGTCGGATTCCCTTTGTTTAGATAGCCGTTGAATGGAGCTTGCCGATTGAAAAAGTGGTGGAAGAGCCAATCCTGAAGCTGTTCACTTGGTTGAGCTTGTCAACTTTTCGAAAAACTTTGCTTGTGGAGTTTGTCAAGGCGAACGCTAACCATTACGCAGAATGTCTGAATGGTAAGTCTCCCATAAATTGGTTTTTTAAAAAAATTATTGAGCTGGATTGTACCAAAATGTGCAATGCGAATTGTTGGCTCAAGAGAAAATTCGGGTTATTCTCTACCGTCTCTCGTTGAAAGCATAAAGCACTTCTCGCATTGCCTGTGATCATAGCTTGTTTAGTTTTTCCTGCTTGATACTTTGCTAACCGGTTAACTCTTGTATAATGTGGATTGAAACTAACTTATCGGAGTTGATTCCTTTGTCAAATTTTCGTGTGTTTGGTCAACTTTTATATTGTTGATTCATTGTTTGTGGCATACCCGCCATGTTTGTGAGATTGTTACTTTTGACTAACCTTGTTGAAGTTGTTGTTCCTTTATGTTACCCCTGAACTTAGTGTTCTATCGTTGTGTTATAGTTACTCCTAACCATAAATTTTTGTTACTCAAATGAATCGATTAAATGATTCGAATTGCGGCTTTGTTATCCGGCCAAATCTTTAAAATTAACGAACTTTGAAATTCATTGCTTTATCAGCTTCATTGTAAAGTTTTCAAAAAAAACCTTGTTTAGATCGACAATTAATGTCTCCAGCATTGACACGCGCGAACTTGCCCCCACCGCATTTGGTAAGCCTTAAATAAACGCATTGTACGAATTCAGTACGGTGGATGATTTTAGCAGCTTTCCTTCAAAGTAATTTTGCCATCTTTAAATTCCTCAAGCTTGTTTACAGATTCCATGTTGATGAGGATAAACTGCGCACACTAAGTCTACATGAGAGAACAGAAAAATCAGCGAGTTTATTCTCAACGTTTGTTGATTAAGAAATATCAAATGCTTTTTGTTTAGTAGCGCGGCTTCTATGGGTTCTAAGGGTGAAAAGAAAACTGAAGAAGAATTGTGGAAAATGCTTGAAGAAGCCGACAGTCCAATAAAGACGCGCAAAGAAAAAAAACGCACAGAAGAGGAGCTGAATATTCTCACACCAACACAGCCAAGGTTTTTTGATCTTTGGTTTATTCTTAATTTATGTTGTTTTAAGTTTTGTTCCATCTTCGAATCAATCTATTGTCCTATCATCATATCATCGGGGCGTGAGGCTTGTACGGGATGAGTTTCAAGAACGGGAGTCGTTGGATGTTTTGAGTGACACATTTATGGATCGGCCTACGAGCGACACTTATGGAGCATCAAAAGAAGGAAGCCGACTCGATGTATCTAGTTATGTGCAAGTAGGTTTTAGTCAAATTATAAAACCTATTATCTGATTTAGGACACTCTCCTTGGTGTGACATCTTTGACACAACATTTGAGCAGCGGCTCTGAAGGGATCGATCATGATGAAATGGAGGTAATTGTTACTTGAAAATTAATAGATGTTTCATTATTTTAGTTTCCTCGTAAACGAGACTCACCTCAATCGATGCGTCACAGGAAAAAGTTTTATGGAGACGATACAATGCAAGGACCATTTAGTACAACTGCTGTGGCGGACACAGTGAGGAGGCGACTTCCCGCATCACCCCTTCTAACCACAGCTGGTGAATTTTGTATGCATTTTTGAAACTTATCTTGGCGATTTAGAATTACCGTTGCCACACAAAAGAGTTAGAACTCGCGGACGAACAAAGATTGAACACAGCAAGACTACAAAGAAGACTCCTATCAAGGTGAATAAAAATTTGCTAGATAAATTTAAGTTTTTTAGAAGAGCGAAAAGCTAAATGTCGATGATCCCTACGCTTTTAAAGATGATGAAGAAGAGGTGAGATTATTCATGGTTTTGGAAACTATTTGATTGTAGACCATCAAGCTAGCAAGTACTCGGGCTAAGACCAGTACAACTTTACATCAACGCAGTATGCCTTCACCGATGGATACACTTTCTGGTATTGTTGCCACAGGCAGTAAATTAGCTGATGTTATATTTTAGAGATTCCTCAACCACATCAGCGCACAGGTGAACTTCGAGCGAAAAGCAAGATAAAATTCATGGCAGAGGTTCTATTTTTGTTGGGGATATCTATCATTGATTTAGAAGCTCACAAATTCTCCAAATCAACAAACCAAAAAACAAGCTTTGGAAACGGTAAAGTTTTATTAAAATTAAATTCAGATTTTGTACTTTTCAGGTGCATGACCGTGAAGCAGAGCGCCATACAAGCAAGAAAGTTGAGGGACAAAAAGGCTTGGAAAATGATGGGAAAGCGAGAAGTAAAGTTTTGTGATTTGCATAATATATTAAATATTAAGAAACCAAAGGAGGCAAGTGGCTGAGGAAAGACAAAGAGAAAAAATCTTCCGTGACTACTCGTGTCGTGAAAATTATGACCCCCGTTAAGCTTGGTGATGATGGTAAGTGATTTAGAATCTAAATTTTTGAGGTTTTATTGAAGCATCTCAAGATTATTTTCAGATTCTACTCTTTCTTTTGAAAAGACTATCGTTTAATCGGAGCCTCAACCAATCCATACGGAAAGTGTCGCGATTTCATCAATCATCACGGATCAATTTGATGTCTGAGTGTGTTATTAATCTTTTAATTTCGTTATTTAGTTGGTTCAACCATTGGGCGGAGAATTGCTTCCTCACTCTAAATTTCTGAAGATTCGATCAAGTCAAGGCTCAACTGCTGTTTGTTTATAAATATGGATTTTTTTAAAAGTATAAATTGTAGCAATCATCACTATTATCCAATGTCAAATTTTCAAAGAGCAAAAATAAACTTCAACCTCTGACTAACGCCAAACGTAAGAATGAAGAAGAGAAAGTAAGTTTTTTAGGTTTTATAATGTAGAAAGATTGAATTTATAGCTTTGAATCTGGTTGAGGAACGATGGATGGTTTTTAGGACAATGTCGTGGATATGAGGCCTCCCGTGCCTATGAAGATTTCTCGCGCCGAAAGCTTCATTCAAGAGCGTCTACCAAAAATCGCACGTACCAACAGACTTGCTGAGGAAAGCGACGAAGAACATTGAGATTTCATTTTCAATTTGGAATTTAACTAGCAAAAATTCTTCTTGTGAAGAGTATATTTAAGCTGTGCACTCACCCATTGTGCTAACGTTGTTGTTTTTGCTCTAGATTTGTTTATATGTTTAGGTATTTACTTTGTGCTATTTTGATTAACCGATTTTTGTTCTTAACTTTGTTGTTGAAGGAAAATAAAGAAATTTAACAAGTTGAGGATATGTAGATGGCAAAGATATGTGTTATCAACCATTACTACCTTCTAATTTACTAGTCGCGTCAATAGAATTTTTCTTTGTTTACTTGTTCAAAACATTGGTTCGGGTACTGTTTATCCTTTTCGACTTTATGTGAACAAGTGCATTGCGCTTAGCCGAATGATCAGCACATCAGCGACGTTTTTCGACGTTTCATCCCCGAGTTCAGCATTGGAGGATTTCAAATGATCTACCGGTAAGCACAAAGCTTTAAAAGACGTTATGCACAATAATAACTAGACTTATCGGATTGATTTTAGTGAGCAGCTCAAAAAGAACTACAATCTGGCCAAATATCAAATACCAAATATCAAATATCAATCAACATCTTGTTGAATCATTTGCGAGTGTTTGATGAAGATGTTGAAAAGAAATTGCGCACTTATCCGATGAAATTTATGCCAGGGGTTAGGAGAGTGTTTTAGGAAGCTTTCATTATTGCTTTCAGTTGGAAGAAGCAGCAAATATTGTCGCCGATGGAGTGACCAAATTACGACCAGAAGGGCAAGAACAAGTGCAAGATATTCAGATGTTGTTGCAATCTATGTGCAATTCAATTTGATCTATAGGTGACACTCGGACTCGAAGAATATCCAACGACGATTCGTAGAGTGGAGAGTACCCAAGTTTCGCAAATCATCAAAATTTCTGGAATCATTGTGGCTTCGAGTCAAGTAGTGAGTAGTTTTTGTTGTTAAACTTCAAGGTTTTCAGGTGCGTGCCAAAGCGACAAAATTGACTCTTCAATGTCGACAATGTCATCGCACAATTGCGGGTATTAAGATCAAATCCGGATTTTATGGTTACGCTTTGCCTCGCCAATGTGGAGCGTAAGTATGGGATTATTTATATTTCATGAGATAGGTGTCTTTTAGTCCTCAAACTGGCCAAATGCAACGTTGTCCGATTGGTCCCTATGCGATAAATGTATTTGCGTCGACTACCAAACATTGAAGCTTCAGGTTGTACTTTTGTTTGTTTTACATTTCAAGTTGTTTTAGAAAAATTCTCAAGATATTTCACACGGTGAAATGCCCCGTCATCTTCCACTCTACGTCGATCGTTACCTCACGGATAAAGTTGGCTAAACTGTTTAAATATTGGGTTGGGGAGAATGAGTCGGCGCCAAACTTTAAAGGACTTTTTGCATACATAAAGCCTTCTTTAAACATACGTTTGGTTTCATCAAAAGGATCCACTATTTCTCTACAAAATCACTTTTGAGAGATTCCACAAAGCTTTTCTTTCGTGGAGTTTATGAACTTCCAAACGCAGCTGGTTAAAATGGCAAAGAGTCCGACTCATCATTTGAACAGTTTCTTTCACATAAACCTTCTTTGGTGTTTATATAAAAAAGATAGAGCACATTGAATTACTTAAGTTGCCAAATTTGCAGGAAGATCCCACCAATGGTTTTTTCTAGATCACAGTTTGTAGTTTTTGTGAAAAAATGGCTTTTTCTTGAGCGGAGGCGCTGTTTGAATTTTCTTTTAATTGTGATTTTGTAGAGAATTAGTTAACCATTCTACTCATATCAAACGCATATTATTTGACGAAGTCGAATTGAAGTTTTACACATTTTTTTCATTTTCGGCGCCGACTAATTCTCCCCAACCCAATAAAAGCTTAAAATAACAAAGTCTTTCCTAAAAGTTTTTGATAATCTTCTCGTGAAGGGGCCGCCGAATTGGCATCCGAAGGCAGAGTTCTGTTTGTGTTATTGTGGATTTTTGGAAGACGAAGAAAAGAGTTTCCACGCATTCTCGCAGATGATTGGATGGGAAGAGGGATTCAGGTAGGCACAGTTTTCAATTTTCAGCGGTTGGGTGTATACTTTGCGTTCAGAGACCCAAAATTGTGACCAATCGCCAATTGGCGTCTACACTCTTGGTAAAGGATCGTCAACCGCTGGTTTAACTACATCAATTGTTCGTGATTCAAACACTGTTACTTTAAAAAAGATTTCTAATAAAGAAGAAAATATTGTTGGATAAATGGGGCGCTACCCGATTAAAAGACTCATTGCTTAAGGACTGCAAGGTTTGTCTTTTTATCGTTTACCCTTTACGGTTGATGAATTTTTAGGAGGATGTCCCGAGTGCGGATCGGAATTGGAGCATTTATCAGATTCTGTCATCCAGTTCAGCTGTATGTGTTTTTATGCTATAACTATAGTGCCGAACAAAAAATGCTTTGGATTGTTCCGGAAAATATTAGTTTATCTTGTAAAATAAAATATTGACTATTGTTTAAATTAGCCAATAAAATTTTAGCAATTTTCTCAAATTTAGGTCTCGCGACATCAGTTACTACATCAACAAGGCTCGAGAAGACCATAACAGCACTCACGCTGAAATATGGGCGGCAACAGTAGTTCTTCAACGCCTTCTCGTCTGGAACGGAGTTTGGGAAGAGAATGGCAAAGAAAAAAAAAGAGTGAAAAGCACAGGTAAGCATTATTCATTTGTATAATAACAATAATCCTCGGCCATTTTGTGTGGAGAAAAATCTTTTGATCATTTAGGGCCTGGCCGATAGTTCTAAGAAGTGACTGTCAAAGTATGATTGAGGGTTTGAAGAAGATGAAGCAATACAAGAAGCGTCAAGAACCAGGACCGTCAACTTTTTTTAATGAGTTTGTTTTTCCATTTGTATTTCTTTATATTTTACGTTTAGTTATCAGAATTTGTATACTCTGGCAACCTATTTTGAAAAGGGGATCTTGTTCCAGTGGATTAAGAATGACGATCCTCGCCTTGGAGAGGTAATGCTTTAGGAAATGTTATTAGCGAAATAATTTTATAGCTTAATTTCTATTTAATTTGATTGATTTTGTTAATTTCAGGCTGATAGATTTGCAAGAAGGGCAATACGGAAAGGTATCCAAGAGAAGGATCCAGCCGCCAAAGCTTACGACAACTTGCGTGTACACATTACATGTAGGTTGTGGCTTTATTTTGAAGAAAGCACTTCCGTATCTGTAAAGAATTTCTATTTTAAGATGATAGCAATACCAAGGGACACAAACCCACCGATGCATACCAACCGTCGCCTATCGTTGAATTTCTCGAATACGAATTCGACAACTTAAAAGAATCATTGTGTGAGGATTTGTCTTTTTACCGTTTACCCTTTACGGTTGATGAATTTTTAGGAGGATTTCCCGAGTGCCGAGCAACCTGGCACCAGCAAGGCTCAACCTGACACCAAGCAGCTCCATCACTGAGGACAGAAAGAAGATTTTGAGGCCCTGCCCCCCTCTCGTTTTCACTTGTACTAGGCCCGCTATTTTTTTGTGTGTTGAGCCCCTTTTTTGTTTAAGACCTTTTTGCATTTCCGCCGGGGCAAATAAATAATTTTCAAAATAATATATTTAAAAACTACAAATCTATAACTTACCTCCTATCATAAAAGGAGTGTTTTTCGAGGAAATGAGCTCATTTTTGATCAAAATTCCTTTGGCTAAGGCTGGTAAAAAAACGTCGAAAAAAGGGAAGGGTCCCACGCATTGATTCTTCGAAATTTTGAGCGCGAAAAATATGATAAGAGTCCACCACATGAAATGTTTGGAGGGGGTAGCGTTCTCTTACAGATATTACGGTAGTGTAACACAAAATCTACGTATTGTTACCCTTTGCACGTTTTTGCAGACAATTAACAGACCAGGGCGGGAAACAACTCATAATGAGAACGTATCCTAGCAGAATTCACCGAGCACCCACTTATCTTTTCACATTTACCCGAGGAATGAGTCTTGGCCCAAATTTCTCTGTCAATTCACTGGTTACATCGCTGAAAGTCGATGTCCTCGATTCTCTACCGATCAAGGAAACATTGAGTTTATTGCAAGTGAATCGCGAATTCCGACGATTTGTCCTCTGTAATGGACCATTTCGAAAGAATGTCCACGAGATTCGTTTCAGGCTATCTGGCTGGAAATCTGAAGACGGAAAGGAAAAGACGGGGCTATCTATTAATGTGCAACATTGCTCTGGAGGCTCTAAGGATTCCCACTTTTTTCAAATCAACAAACCAATCTTTGAAAGACCCTCAAAGCAAATAACAAGACATCACTCGAGAATCTTCCAGAATATTCTTCGATGTCAAGAAATCCAATGCGTGTCATATATGCCAGACGAAGTAGATGACTTTTCTAGCAATGTTGTTAACTTTTTCTCCTTTTGGCCGAGAGTTCGAGCAGTCCGATGCTTATCCGTATCTTCATTTATCCTTATCCCAACTCCCTCTCCTTCCAGCAGTTGCTGAATATACGCTCAATATGAAGAGGGGTGGAGGCGATCTGATGCAGTTCCTATCGCAGCAAACGAATTCAGGACAGATAGATACAGCAAAACTGTGGGACACTTATGACACTATTGGCAAAAACCCGCAAGGGTTAGTTACATGGCAATGCTTGGAAAAGATGAAAGTTCGCTCGATACGTTACATAGCCCCTCTTTATAAGTCTTTCCTAAAAGTTTTTGATAATCTTCTCGTGAAGGGGCCGCCGAACTGGCATCCGAAGGCAGAGTTCTGTTTGTGTTATTGTGGATTTTTGGAAGACGAAGAAGAGAGTTTCCACGCATTCTCGCAGATGATTGGATGGGAAGAGGGATTCAGGTAGGCACAGTTTTCAATTTTCAGCGGTTGGGTGTATACTTTGCGCTCAGAGACCCAAAATTGTGACCAATCAAAGATATTTGATCACTATCTTCTAAGAAATCAGCAAACCAGATCCCTTTTGTTTACGTGTAAATTTGCAAGTCCAGTTTTTGACTCAAAAGATTTCAAATAAGAATTTTATTTCTTTCAGAGAATCTCAACAAAAAGACTATCGAACCCGTTATTCAGTGAGAGCCGACCGGAATGGAATCGAATGGATCTATCAATTGGACTACCGATGTACTCAGCCTCATAGTTCTGGCGGCTTTACGCTGACAGTAACCAAAAGCGCTGTTGAATGTTGAATATTACAAGTTGTTATCTTTACTGTTGTCTAATCTTTGTTTTCAAATCTTTGTTTTCGATTTTCTCTGTGATTTCTTTGTTGACGCGTGTAAAAGAAAAGAAACTATGTTTTGAGTGTTTGAAGGAGTTTTTTAATAAAGATTATGAAAATATAATCAAAAGCTTATCATAAAATATATTTTGTTTTAAGAAAATTAAAGAATTCTTGAGAAAAAGGTGAAAAAACGGTGTTCAGAGCAAAGTTCTTTCGTTCTTTCGCCTTTACCAACTTTAAGCTTGTTTTTATTAAATTAAAACAATTTTTGCCACATAAACAAAATACTTATTCAATAGAATTTTTCAAGGTGCATCTTTTGACGTAAAAATGAGCCGAATTCGTTAAAGAATGGCTGATAAACGGTCAAAATTGTTTCACCTTTGCGCTGGCTTGATCGCTAGCCGTTTTGCGCACAAGAACGGTAAAAATATGATAGAAATGATGAGGATTTCAATCAAATAATGTTCTAAAAATCGGTCTTCTTTGATTATTTGTGCGTGAAGGGGAAAGCCCATTGATTAGCGCCAATTTCGGGCTGATTTTCTTGTTAGTGCCTGGAAAAGTCCCCATTTGTTCAAAAAAATCAAAAGCTCACTTTTCAAATGTTATATAGAAAATTGTATTCCTAATTCTCGGCAACATTTATCGATCAAAAACTTGCCGATTGGACTGATACAACTCATTTAACAAGCGCTTGAATGAGCGCTAGGGGACATCTCTCCTGCGAATCTCTCATTTGGCCGCTCCATTAAAAATTGTTCAGAAAAGCTTTTTAATATTTCTTCGATGCAAAAATAGCGTTTAACCTCACTTAATAACATTAAGAATCACACTTAAATGTGTTGGCTGAACTGGCATAACCAAAATTGAAGTTCATGTCAAGCTCCTTTTTTTTTCTTTGTTTTTCGATCAAGTTCTGCTGTCGTACCGGAATTTCTTTCTATTTTGCACTCCTTTGACTCTAATCTAATTGTGCAACAGTTCATTTGAAAGTACCCTACTTTTTGTATGTTTTAACTTTACCCAACCTTAAACCACAATTTCACATATGGATGATTGAGCGCGGCTTCGACAGAGTATCGATCATTCGGATCAATTGTCAACATGTGTGCGAGAAGATCACGAGCGGACATGTTTAGCACATTGAGCTGTTCAGTTCAATGTGCTAAACAGCTCATTGAACATTGAGCTGTTTAGCTGAATGTCCAATGCCCAAACTCCTGGGATGAATTTTTGCCTTAAAATTGGCTGTAATCCGCTACAAAACCCCGAAAGCAGTGTGCTCTGAGTCGTTTTGAGTGAATGCTGGAACAAAGCTGAAACTCGAGTACGATAGCCCATTAGGTTGATATCCGAAAGAGCAAACGTACTTCTCACAATGAGTAGGTCTAATTATAGTTGGACTACTTCTTCTAAAAGGACCAATAGCTGTGGGTTAACATTGTTGAAATGACTCGCCGATCGCCGTTTAGTTAAATGTGCAATGCCATTGTTGAGGTCACCTTCTGAATGGACAACTCCCAAAAAAACAACATAAAATTCCGCCCATTTGGCCATGAAAAAAGAAAAGAAAAGACTGGAGATAAGGAAGAATTTGTGGGGGAGGGGAAATGGCTTCAAAAGGGAAAAAAGGAAATGTGTGACCTGGGATTGCGTCAAATTTGTTTCATTGGCTATTACCGATCATTTATGAGATAGTTTGAGAATGGTATTTAAAGGAGTTAAATGGAAATTCGAAGGAACAGATTGGAAGGAGCATCTCAAATACAGTACTCCTTCTTTTCAACAGTTCTCTCTGAAGTAATCCTATTTATCTACAGTAAGCCCATTGATCTCCTCCTCTGAACGATGAGAAGTGTTTCGATTTGGACTTTAATTGGGGTTTTCGCCATTGGGAATTTCGTTGAGGTTTGTCTTTTTCTCAAGCTACAGTATCCTTATCCAATTCTCCAATAATCTCCAATCGAAATCCCATTTTCAGTCCCAATCCCCAGCGATCTCTCCATTCTTCGACAATTCCTGTTCCCTTCCGAATCCAACTTTTCTCAACAATGTCCCCCTTTTTGCAAGGCTTTCTTTCCTGAAAATTCAATCAAACAACCGCTTGACTGATCGACAAAAAGAAGAACAAATGAGAGATTGGGCAAAACCGTTTGGAGAGAAGATTCAGGTAAGAGTTTCGATTGAATATGGAGAAAGAACTATTGATTAGCTCTTCTAAATATGATCATTTCATTGAAATCTCCATTCCAGACTGCTCTCGACGACTACTTGAAAGCTGTTGATGAGAAAATTCTGGCGAAATTCGATGGACAGGAAAATATCGTTGAAAAGGTTTGGAAAGAGATTAGAGCCTTGATATTTTGAAGTATTTTTTGATTTGATTTTGATTGATAGTTTTGATATTTAGGCTCACGAAGCGCTGCTTTTGATTCAGAAAGCAGAGTCGGATCCCGATCAGACATCGACACAAAAACAGAAAACGATTGACTACATTCTGTTTTCACAAACGATTCCCGTGAGAACGGTGAGTTGGGAAGATCGGATTTGAGTCGGGAATTGGACAATCAAATTCTTTGAAGAAATGAGTCGATTTTAGATTGTTTCCGTTGCCCGGAACAATGCTGTTTGTGTGCCAAGAACGACGACAACTTCGGCGCCAACAACAACAACCACAACAATGAATCCGGTGACAACTGCTTCTCCAACTGATCAACCAACTGATGGACCGTCCACAACTCAACAACCAACCATTCTTCCATCTGGAGAACCATCAACTGCTATTCCATCAACTGGACCGGTCACTCATTCACCAACAGATGAGCCGGCAACTGAAGCCCCCACCGAAAAACCAACGGGAGAGCCATCAACTGCTGCTCCAACTGGTGAACCTACTGATCAGCCAACTACCGAATCCCATACTGAACAACCCACAAATGCCCCTACTGATGAACCAATCACTGGAGAGCCATCTACTGCCAAACCTTCAGATGAGCCTGTCACTGACGGTCCAACCGGTCAACCATCGACAAATGCTCCAACTGATGGGCCCACTGATCAGCCTGTGACTGGAGAGCCATCGACCGCAACTCCATCTGATGAACCGGTCACTGATAAACCGATAAATGGCCCGTCCACTGGAGCTCCAACTGATCCACCCACTGAACAGCCCACCGATACTCCAACTCAAGCACCAAGTGATCAACCATCAACTGGTG